TGTTTATCACTTACAAATTCTTTGAAATACCGACTAGTAAAAGCCAACACATTGTCAGAAATTATGCGTTTAGGGTTAGGGTAACCCAAAAATTCTCCAAAAATTTGCCTCATATTCTTAATGCATTCTGCTGAACTTAGAGTTCTCGTTGGTCTTGCAACTACATATTTAGTAAAAGAATCGACTACAGTTAAAATATACGAAAAACCTGATTTACTTTTTGGAAATGGGCCTACATGATCAATGTGCACTGTATGCATTGGCTCATCCGACTTTGGTATCGGATGTAATTCACCTTCAATATTACCATATGCACCTTTACTATATCCACAATGAAAAAAATGCAGCTTTATACTTTTTAATAAAACGAGACATTTTTGAGAACCAAAATTGATCTCTAATTAATTTCAGACACCTTTCGAAACCCGGGTGACCGGGTTTCGAAATTTCATCATGATATTTTCGGAGAAATTGAAATCGTGCAAATTTTGGAATAACAAGTCTATCTCTATTTAATGTTTTTCTATATAAACGGTTATTTTTATAGCCTAAACTTCCGTAGCAGATTTTTGTCAGATTTGTTTTTGATTCAGAAGATCTTTAAGTCTTTGAAAAGCTGTTGACTGTGTCCCTCCCCATTCAAAAATTGCATCTTTCCGAGTTAATTTTGCCAAAGAAAGAGCAATCATTGCAAAATCTTTAATAAATTTTCTGAAATAACCTGCCAAACCTAAAAATTGTCTAATTTCGTGGACATTTGAAGGCTGCTTAACGTTTTTGACTGCTTCTACTTTAACCAATCCTGGCGAGATACCGTTTGGCCCAATTTTATGGCCTAGAAAGTGTATGTGACTTTTTAAGAAAACACATTTTTTTTTTTAAATTCAACTTGAATCCAGATTCATTCAATAGTTCGTGGAACACAGAAAGTGCGTTTATCAGCCCAAACGGCATTTTGAGATACTCAAAATGGACGTCAGGTGTAATGAAAGCAGTTTTGCTAATTGAATCTGGTTCTACTGATATCTGATGGAAACCCTGATTACAATCTAAGCTTGTGAAAAACATTTTCCCCCTAACAAATTTAACTGTTCTTCCACATTTGGCATAGGGTATATATTTTTAACAGTGATTTTATTTAAAGCTCTGTAATCTACACACAACCTAAAATCATTATTTTTCTTTTTGACCAACACTACAGGGCTAGCATATTCAGACTGTGACTCCCTGACTATACCAGAGTATAACAACTCGTTTACTTTTTCTCTTATAATTATTGCTCGTTCATTTAACGACAATCTATAAGGACGATAACATACAGGTTTCGACTCATCTGACAACTTAATTTCTAACTGGCACCCCTTCACCACTCCTAACTCAGCAGATGAGTTAGCAAAACAATGTTGCCATTTATTCAGTACTTCTAAAACTTTCTCTTTTGACTCAGAATCTAAATCAGCATTTATGTCTACTTCACCTATCCTAACATGCTCTCTCTAACATGCTTAGTATTATGGCTCAGAGAACTCACCCTGTAATCTCTCATAGCGGTGCCGCCTTGACATCTGAGTCCTCTACTAATTAGCCTGCCTCGCCTCCACTGTATTTCTTCATTACTTAGGTTCGAAACCGGAACCAAACAATGAGACCCTCTAAACACCATTCCGGGAATACAAATCACACTTCTTCCGAACTGAAAGCGTTTGTTTTCCATCAAAACTTCATCCTTTTCATTCACATCGCTAATTTCACAGTCCACCATCGTCGTTGAGTGAGGATACAGTATACAGTATTTCAACAAACTAATTTTTGGTTGCATTTCCTCTCCTTGCTCAAAAATGTCTTGTAACCAGTTATCGTAATTTTTGATCAATTTTACAATCCCCGCACATATTAGAAGTGAAACACCTTCAGCATTTATTACCGGCTGTCCGACAATCATGTCAAAATTGTCCGTATCTGTTTGAACGACGTCAATTTGCAACATAAACTTTACCGACATCTCAGTTTTTATCGTATTGCCAATAAATTTTCGTTAATGGAACACTGCTTCGCATAGATTTGGTTAACATCTTTCCCTTTAATTTTCACAGATTTTTACTGGTTTCCCGAAGACGTACTCGGTTCATTAATATTGCATTTGCGAACTCTGCAATCTTCCTTTTTGTGTCCAAAACGGTTACAAAAATAGCATCGTAAAACACTTTTCATGCGACAATCTCTTGAAATATGTCCAAATTTGCCACAATTAAAACAACCTACGGATCTAATGGGAACTTTCTCATGTCTTTCAGGTCGTGACCTCTTTAATTTTTCATGTTCCTCCTGGTAGCTCTGGTAATTTTCAAGAGACGCTAAAAATCCTGCATATAATTCATTTGGAGTGTTACATTTGAAAGCCCTCGCATTTGCCTGTAATTCTAAAGGCAATCCTTTAATCAAACAGGAAATTGTAGCTTCGTTGTCCAACCTACACTGCTGTGTGACAGTTTCTCATGGTAATAATGAGTCATGGTTTCACATGGTTCTTTCTTTCTTGCAACAAGTTCCTCTAACACAGTTGCATAATCTGTGGATCTCAGAAATGCAAGCGTCAATACTGTTTTCCACTCATCCCAGGTTTTCTTATAATCCTCCAAACGATGAAACCATCTTCTTGCTGATCCCCGCAGTTTTTCTTGCATAAATGCAGTTTTCTGATATTCCGACCACTTGTGTATTTCTTCCAATCGATCGATTTTCTGAAACCATCCGGTAACCATCATTGTACTGTCATCTGGATCAAACAGTGGAATTATACCGCCATGAACAGATGATGACGACGGTTCCCCCAATACAGTCTCCAAGTTGGCCGACTCCAAGTTTGCTCTGAGTTGGGTGCAACTTTTATTAAAAATATCACTGATCTTCCTTTCAATGTGTTTTTCCAGCAAACTTTGGTAAAGAGCATTTTCATCATCACTCATCTTGTCATCATCACTCATCTTGACCACTTTAATGGGACACACTGTATATAGTTAATAACAGTTATAAATACGTTCTTTTTTTCTGTGAAAGACATGTGACACTATCCCACTTCTGTTGTTATAAACAAAAACAAATATCGCCAATAATTTCCTTTAATCAAAGTAAAATGTACATTCTCAATTATTATTATTGTTCGTCATTCAACTCTCTAATTCTAACTAACTTATCCTTCGTTTCTATTCCTGTATCCAACTACCTTGTTTATATAAAAATGTTTATAAAATTATGAACAATCAGTCTATTCAGCGTTTCGGGACACGCACACTGGCCTTGGCGTTCCAGCCACCGTCGCTCGGTCTGTCTTTCCCGCTCTTCATAACAATATATTTTAACAATACAATGTAACATATAATAAAAAATATAAATTGGCTTATATAAACTTTATATAAGCCATTCCATTCGAAAGTAAAGATGCTAAAACTATATCTAAAGCCTTAGCTGAAGAATTTATGATGAAAGGTATTTTTAAAATTTTAAAAACATATTTAGGAACCGAATATCTAAATGATCTTCAAAAATCAATTAATAAACTTTTTCAAATAAAACATTTAACATCAACAGTGCATCACCATGAATCATTTATTAGGTAGTTTAGAGAGAAATATACGAGTATTTGTAGCAAATTCAGCAAATTCTAATTGGAATACATTTTTAGCATACTATGTCTTTGGTAAAATAGCAAATTTATAAAAGAAATTTTCATTACAGTATCACCAAATATACAATATTTCTAGATGATTGAATGAACTTAAATTTAGATTGAATGAAGCTCACAAAAGAGCAGTAGAATTTCTTAATAAAGCAAAGCAAAAATGAAAACGTAATTACGTAAACATGTAAATCCATCTAATTTTTCTGTTAATGATTTATTGTTAGTTATGTTAAAATTAGATACCTCATGTACAGGTCCATTTAAAATTATCAATCAAAATGGCGTTAATTTCACAATTTTGATAGAAAATAAACATGTAAATGTTAATAATAATAGATATAGAAAAAATTAATTTGTGATGGTACCATACAATCAATTTTAGAATAAGCATTTAACCATATTCCTTTGTAAAATTATTACTTTGTAAGGGGGGAAGGGGTACTGTCATTATCATTAACCTACTTGCAACTTTGCAAGAAATGCAGTACGCAACGGGTCAAAGATCCTTGACCCGGTCTTCCGAACAATGACAATACATTTTTCGTACTCCGCAAAAAATACAGTTACAGACTATATAAATGATGTTCCACCGTGGAAAAAATAAAAACAAGATGTTGTCTGCGTATATGTCAGGATAGTTTAGTTTAAGGAACTGTTTTCCAGTAACAGATAAATAGTTCTATTGTATGGAAGTTTGGCAGGTCAAAAAATTGTTATACAATCGCTTTTGATATATGGCAAATTGTATAGTGTATGTGCGAGCACGGTGATTCCGACTTGTTGAAGTAATTTCAGATTGAATCGGTATATCATTTCTTTACAGTAATATTATTAACATAATAATAATAATCACAATCACAAACTTTGAAGTGAGTTTAATGAAATGAATAATAATTTTTAAAATCTGTTGGTTCATTGGTACATAATTCTTACAGCAATTCATGTGAGTGTAGGTATACGTCGCTGTCATAACTGTGATTTTTCCTTTTTATCTACTTAACTTTTCCTTTATTACCATCCAATTAAAAGTGAGCATACAATTCTATTTGAAATAGTCGATGCCCTGGTCATACTAATTTTTCAGACGAAGTATTCTATAATTATGAAAATATTTTCTTAAAAAATTGAATTCTATGTGAGAACAGGTGACTGATACAAATACATAAGACCAATTTTCAAAATTGATATTGAGACGATAAGAAAATATACATTTAGCACGGTGCTGAAATTATTTTAGATATCTGCCCTTTTGCAAGACAGAAGGAGTATTTCCCAAGTATATCTTTTAAGAAAATTAATAAAAGATTTCCATTTTTTACAGAAAACCGTTTTTTCTTTGGAAGATTTAGCAAGAGAATTGGAAAAATATGGATATAAATATAAAATAGAAACATTCCAAAAACAACCATATATTATGATGATGAAAATCTGTGAAACCAATGCCATAATGATGGGCAAGGGAGACACCAAAGAGGAAGCATTAAGAGACTTATTTGAAAATGTCATTCTAATGTTTGATAATGGCTTTTCTCTAAAAACTGAATTTTGAAATAGTTTCTGAAGAAATATTGTTATTTAAACAGTTTATTATGTATTATATTTATAATTGAGTATTGATGATTTAATATACAAGTGGATAGAATGTTTTATATGTATATTTGTAAAAGAATATTATTAACACATAGTGTATGTACAAATTATGTATTATGTTTAGAATATTTTGGAGATTGGAGGTGTCCCATTTTAATATACCAGGCTGCATAATTTTTTAAATTCGCCTTTTATAAAAAAATATTTCGAAACAAAAGTTATCAGGCTTCGAGGGGGCCAAATTATGTCGACCTTGAATTTGACCTTGAAATTAATTATCTAGTCCAAAATTTTATTGCTGATTCGTATTGTGCTAGTTCAGCCATCTAAGGCTCAGAAACGGCGTTTCCAGGAAAAAATGTAGAAGTTTTTTTTTACCCGTTCTATATGTTTTTTGGGCTGCTGAATCCGAATCTGAGGTTTACCACCTCGCCAGGCGTTGGATTCACAAGGAAAATTGCAAAAAACCTCAAATTTTCGTCACTTTTTTCGGTTTTTTGACTTTAACTCGAAAACTAAGCGTTTTTTGATTATAACTATGATATACCAAATTAAAGTAGACAAAATTTCCTACAAATACGTATAATAACTCTAAAGTCTGGTCAATCCATAACGTCGGTAGATCTTGTTAAAAAAATTGTATTTCTTGACTTTCCGCTAAAAAAGTTGAAAATGCTATTCTAACTGTCTGCTGGTGCCCTACTATCAACTGACTCTGCCATGTATATTTTCTGAAATCAGGAAAAGGCAAAAAATCTTCCATCTGTTTACCATCCTCCAAGCACCATCGAGAAATGCCTGGCAGAACATATACTATTCATACTTTCAGTCAGTGGTTGTTACTCTCAGAGTAATAAATAAAGGGGAGACCGCATTCCCTATTTCAGTACATAGCATAAGCAAGTAACCTCAACCTATTGTATGTTGATAAACAAATGATATATAAGTAAACACAATGGTCCCTGGTACAGTGGCGTACCAAGTTTAGGTTTAAAATCTATCATAATAAATAAGGAAACCATAAAAATTATACTTTTTAATAGAATTTGATAAAATCAGAAGTGCTCTATTATTTAAGCTTTCATGTGTAATAAATAGACAATAAATAGAAAAAAGTTTGTGGTTTTGTCAAAATATATAATTAATATTTTAAAAATATTTCCAGAACAAGAGTGACTAAAGAAAACTCCTCGATTGAAACTGTTATTATACTATAGCTACCAAGCAAACATAATTTTACAAGTATCCAATGCTACAAAATATGCATTCAATGGCATTGCCCGCTATTAGTTCTATTATTTCATTGTAGTTCTCGATTACTGGAAAAACTACATTTATTAAAATAAATAATTTAAATAAAATTACAAGAAAACGAGCAAAAATATATTTCATTAAAATCTGCTGGAATATAAACAATGCATAGAAAACAAAACTTTGTACTAAAAGTAACTGAAAAATTAAATTACATTGAACAACATTTAATCGTATGGGAAAATAAACATGTTCCAAGCACGTTTTAAATGCACTCAACAAAAATAAACTGAATTTTGAGCTCATAGCATTGACAGCTCCTCTCTTACGGAACGGGGACATGCGATTGAAGATGTTTCACTGGCAATTTCTCGAAGAGGGAACTTTAGAGATGGCACAACCTTTTCATCGACACTGCTAAAAATGTTTGTTAAATTATTCTTATTACCTTTTTAAAACATATTACATTTGATAAATCATATTCAGATATGGCTAAATTTTCTAGACACATTGCTCGTATCGCAGGATCTTATGGTATTCTACAAATAAACACAGAACTATTGTCAGTATCAAAATACAAACATAATAAATTAACAAATAAAATACTTAGGACACCTTACACCCTTGTAAGAACGCCCATGGAAACAATGTCAAACTTACTTGTGAAAAGAAGTAGCACATATTTGGCTCTTTTCCTGTAATTGTCGGCATATTATACACCGCTTTGACATTTTTATTGAAATTAAATAGAAAAACAGTTTAAAAAGACACAAAACCCTGAACTCGGCTAATATCTATTTCAGAACAATAGACTGTAATAATGGCGTCCCCTTTAGAACCGTTTAATGGCAGGCAATGATGCCACTTACGGCGTTTGAATTTCAATAATGTATTTTTTTTTCAGATATTCAAAATCTATAATTATAAAACAAGTTGCAAGTAAATAGTGTCGTAGTCTTATGCATATTATAATGTAACTAATTTGTAAGTCGAGGTCAAGAATGAGGTAGATCCTTGTACGTTAATCAATTAAAATGACCGCTGTACCTAGCTAGGTATAAAGATAAAAATGTAACATTGGCATCAACGTCAAGGACGTCACAAGTACCAATGTTTGTAAGTACACATATGTCAACACTTCACTATCTAATGTAAATAACGGCGTCCCCTTTATTTATTAGTCTGAGTTGTTACTCCACATCTGCTCTTTTCAAACAAGAGAAAGCCAAGTTTATGAAAATCCTTAGAAGGTATCCTGACCTCTCGTTATACATCTGACGTTTCAGAAACCCTCTTGCCACATCAGAAGAAATTTTGGAGGCAGGGGAAAAATTCATAGTGGTCTTGTATGGTGGAGACCATTCCACTACTTCATTTAATAAGCTGCGGTACAAACGGTATGTGTCATCAGCATTCAAGGTTAACGGAAATGTAGCATCCATCCTCCCTTCCCGCTAAAGCTGCAGCCCAGCAACACAGTTACAGAGTATTTCACCAAATACAGCAGTGGCTGGGGAATATTCAACCACCTGGGCAATGGGGACGGAAAGTTATTAAAGGCAACTTGATTCCCATCACGACCCTCAGAGAAGCTTCTGACACTTATTGCCTGCAAGTGCCAGAAGGGTTGCAAGGGCAATTGCGGATGCAGAAGGGTTGGGTTATACTGCTCCAGACTCTGAATTGTGAAGGAACGTGCTCCAATGTAGAAATACTGCTCAATGATGACGATCTAATTTATACTATTACAAGTAATTATTATTCTAATATACTATTTATCACTGTAAATTAGGAACTATACCTTCACAGATCAAAATGTCATAATAATATTTTTTCCAGTGGAGAGACCAGCGCCCATCCTTCAAGAGTTCGAGCAGTCCACTGTTCGGACAGGACTAAAAAGAAAACATTACGTCACTCCGGATATACAGCCTGATCCATCTAAATGGTACATCTGCGAATTCAATCCTGAGTGTTATGCAGGTATTGTCTTCTTCATCTTATTTTCGGTTTTCTCTTTTTTTTTTAAATAATATTAAACTCTATTGTGCAAAGACATAATAAATTTTGAATGACATGGATTCTATTATAGTTATCTCCATTCTCGTTGTTTCAGGTGATAATTCTGCAGATCAGGACGACGAATGAATATGAAAATTATTAAATAATGGTGTTTTTGCTGTTTTTTGTGTAAATACAAATTTGTTCCAAATATGTTTCCTTTTATCAAAACCTTCTATCTTCCCCTTGAATTAAGAGTAGTATGATTTCGTTTGAACTAGGAGGCCCATTGACCATATATAGACCTCACTCACGTTTGACAATTCCGTAAATGTAACCTGAAGATACCAGATAATCATAAAATAATTGATTTTAGAGGTATATGAAGTTGATAGTAGGGCTCCAGCTTGCAGTTGGAATAACATTTTCAACTTTTTGTAGCGGAAAGTCAAGAGATGCCATTTTTTCAATATGATCTAATGACTTTATGTATTGTCCAGACTTTAGAGTTATTATAAGTATTTGTAGGAAATTTTGTCTACTTCAATTTGGTATATCATAGTTATGATAAAAAAAGCTTAGTTTTCGAGTTATAGTTAAAAAACTGAAAAAAGTGCCGAAAATTTGAGGTTTTTGCAATTTTACTTGTGAAGCCGACGCCTGGTGAGGTGGCAAACATCAGAATCGGATTCAGCACACCAGAAAACATATAAAACCGGTGAGAAAAGAACTTCTACATTTTTCCCCTGGAAAAAACTTAGCTTACTGGATTATCTGGGAAAAAATACGTAACTGTTGTATGAAATATTTTTTTGAAAATGTTTCGTTCTCTCGCCAGAGTGCGGTATACTTTTACTGTTTCATTTTAATTCTCAGGCTAATATTTCAAAAAATAAGGAGGATAGTAAAAAATATTTCCTACAAAAGATGTCAGGTTTCGGGTAAAAAATGGTACTTAAAGGGCATTTATTAAATACGGCTTAATTTCACACGTTTTACAAATTTTTTTTATAGGTATTTTTATATGTACACATTTTTGGATGGATCGTTTTCTTACGATTACAGTGATATGGATCAATCTTCAATAGAGAGAGTATAACAATGACCAAAACACAGTCATAAATTTAATTTATTAGAGGGAGATTAGTCTAGGCAATAAAATTTTTTGCTAAACGATTTATGACGTTTTTACCGTAACAAGAGAAAGCGTCGTACTCAACATATGAAGATAGGAGCTTACCTACTCTTATTAATTCTTTAATTAGGTTCCTGTCAGCAAATTTCACTTTTTGTAAGATTCTGCATTATACCGGGTGTTACGAAATTCGCGGACACGGACTATGGGATCATGTTAAGCTAGATAATGTCGTAAAAAAATGTATCATTTTTCAATCAGACCAATATTTTTCGAGATACGGCAGTTTTAAATATCCAAAGATAATAAAAATTTTCTATTTTTAATCATTTGATAAACAATTATGACAAACGAATTGTTCAAAATTTCCACCACATGCTGCTAAACATGCTTCAGCACATTGTGCTACAGCTCGAATGGAGTTGCACTCCTACGATCTCTGGCGTTATTTGTTGTATTGTTTGAAACTGACAGTTCTATAACAATTAATGACAATTCAAAAAGCATTTATCAATACTTTGACATCGTTAGAGTACAGGACAAGTACCTGTCAATACAAACTGCAAAATAATAGGTCACAATTATTCAAATCGTGAATAGTATGATATGCTGATGGCTCTCGGAGCTTCAAATAATTGTGCAGGTGAAGCAGTGCAGTTGGCTTGGCAGAGGCGATCCATTTGCTTGGCCACCTCGTTGTCCAGACCTAACGCAATGTGATTTTTTATTTTGGGACTTCTTAAAAACGTTGGTGTACAGAACAGTGTACAGTGGCAAATTTGAATGAATTGCAGAACCACCTATTTCAATCAATTCAGCAAATAACACCAGAGGTGATACACCAACTCCATTAGAGCAGTAGCACAATGTGCTGAAGTATGTTTAACAGCAGACGGTGGAAATTTTGAACAATTGTTGTAACCCGTTTGTCGTAATTGTTTATTTAATGATTGAAAATTGAAATTTATAAATATATATTTTTAATATTTTTGGATATTTGATACTGCTATATCTCGAAAAATATTGGTCTGATTGAAAAATCATAAAGACACTTTTTTATCACCTTAATATGATCCCACAGTCCGTGTCCGCGAATTTTGTAAAACCCGGTATAAGAATTGGTTTGAAATACATTATCAAAGGTCGAGAATATTAGAGAACAGTTTTTTAAATTTCTTGAAAGTTCGAATCGTGGGATTTAGGTTATTTCTGAAATAAGTGAATCAATTATTCATATTTTTAAGAATTCCACTTAATCCTTTGACAACATTCATGTCTACAGAAATTAAAAAATACGTTAAAGAAAATTGCCGTCAAATCGCCGCGCAGTGAGCGAAAAGTGAGGTAATAAAACTTGTTGAAATTGGGATATATTATTATGTACTCTCGTATTCCCAGGTTCGAGCGCCGTCCAGGATTTCTTAAAGTTCCACGACATCCTGGGCAGCATGCCATATACACATGGAGGTCTATGGAATACATTCCCGAGAGAAGACGCGAGAATACGATACTTCGCCTTTATAATAGTTTTCTACACATATACAAACTATTATAATTTTCTACCTTTAGCAGAAAACTTTTTTAGGGACGCCCATGAAACTCATTAAATTTGATTGCTTGGTTTTTTTATGCATGTTCAACTGACTTCGGAAGAACTATACCTGTACGTCCGTTATTTTAGCGGCGTACTCAAAATTAGAAGCAGCCCCGCTTCCAAGGCTTCCTCGAAAGACCTTTTTATTAGCTTCAGTGCTACTAGACTTTCAGACTTTCGCTCTGACATTATCGGACGGGATAGGATGGATCCCTCCTATGCAATCTCCAGTGATACGAGGACTGGTGCCCTCGAAGACATATATAAATTAGATAGTGGCAGTCTGTTTAAGACTAAGCTGTACGAAACCTCGTCGCCAATGTACGGAGAAGCCAGCGGTATCACGGACTGCCCTCACGCTTCTTTGCTGGCGATTGATCTCCCGACACTTCGAGTGAACGAGGAAATGGTCTCCGTACCCAACCCTATCTCGATGTTTCATGGAGAGTCCGAGGGGCCGAAGGCGGTAGCTCGTGGAAGTACGCGGCACGGCGTAGCTACAGTGCCCTATGCGCCGAGGTCCGCTGCTACACGAGTTACAGATACCGCCTCGAGCACCCCTCAGAGCGCACCCATAGAGACCCCGAGTTACCACCCTATGGACCACCCATAATCACTCGTGGCGAGGTTCACTCTTCATACCATCTGGAAGGGTCAGGGGAATCCCATGGGTCCGACCACGGTTTCCGACCTGGCACTGAGCTTGGGATTAGAACTCCGTAGATGGCACCTTCTGCCATCCACTCTCCGAACTCAGGTGCTACGGATCGTGGAGCCGTCGGCCCGGACGACCCAGATAATACAGCATTACTACGACATGGGGCCCAACGTGGGGCTCGAACTCCGAGGTAGGTATCGTCTGCCATTTACTCCCCACGTTCCGGTGCCATGGAATGCGAAAACCCCGAACAAAACCAGAATATGTTACGACATGGCGCCCAACGTGGGGCTCGAACATATTCTTCGACGTCTCCAACGCGAGCCCATGTTGTAGACGCAAACACAAATGATTCCCCGTCACTACGAAACCAGAATATGTTACAATCCACTTTTTTTAAATACTCGTAATTACGTCCGCTTTCTTATGTCTCTGCGACAATTGCGATATTTTAAGATCTCGACTTGCTCTCTCTCTCTTATAAACTACAATCAGAAATGTTTGCCATAAATTATATCACAACATATGAACAATATTTAGTGAATATAAATAATAACCCTTCAACCAAA